CAGGACGCACCAAAATACTATCTGCAATTGGATAAATAACTCCAGCATCCAACCACTTAATGATTTCCTTCTTAACTACATCTTGCATAGGCGAAATGAGTCTTCTCGGGTGCTCAATACTAGGCTTGTGATCCGGCATGAGTTGTATTTTATGAGAACAAATACCAGGAGGAATCTCAATAATGTCCGCGATAGTACACCCAATAGCCCACTTGAACCACTTCAACACAGAAACCAGTGCCTCAACTTGTGTCACATTCAAATCTGCCGCAATAATGACCGGAAATTGATGAGTCCACAAATTGGACTCATTTAGGCTATATTTTGATAGAATTAGTGTCCTCAAATGCATATTTTATCTCAATATCTGATGAAATCCCTTAAGTTTCAGGTATTTGGAGTTTGAGGGAAAGCATGGACACTACTTAGCAAAAAAAGAACAAAGGCAGTTGAAAGAACGAAGAAATGAAGATCTGAGAATTGCCGAACCCATTCAGCGAATCGCCAAAAGGTCTTATCCTTGCCTTTTGTTCCAGTGTGCTGAGCCCTGAAAGAAAGGATCAAATCGGCAATGAAAAGGAGCAGTCGGCATGTTGCCGAGTAGTTCTGCAAAGCAGTACTACGTCACCCAATGATCCAAAACACGACGATGCTGACGGATAGAGAGAGACGACGATGAAACCTACCAAAGGATGGATCGCCAAATTGATCAGCGACCTCGACTAACCACGTCGAATGATCCGCTGCAGCATAGATTTTTGAAAACTATAAATACTCATTGAGAGTTGTAGCTTAAGATCAGATATTTAATATATAATTTTTAAGATAGAATTTTGAGTTCTAAGTTTGGAGAGGGTTTTTAAGAACTTGAAGATTCAAAGGGTTTCTATTCCAAGAATTTAGACTTGGGTCTTTTCGATTCTTCACTCTTTGCTTGTTTTAAGACTTAAATCTTCATACCCATTTGAATGCAAACTAATACTGGTATAAATTTCTATCTCTTTTACATGTGTAGCTAAAACCCCAATTCTTGGGGTGTGATTTTGTGAATATGGGTTAGATTATCTATTGGGTCTTACTTGTTGATGGTTTATTTGTTGTGTTAATGTTATTCGTTTAGTAGTTGTGGTGGAACTTAATGAAATTCTAGTTGCAAATACAATTTCACCTTTGTGTTTTCGGCTTGCTCGAGAGAGAGGTCGTAAAACTAAGACTACTAAATTGATGGCCGGTGGAAGTGGGTCGACATGAGGTTCACCTCGAGAGAGTGAACCCTAGTCCTTCTCCCACACACTAAGCTCGAGAGAATGAGTGGGCTAAGGCGGAGGTTGTTCTTCATGCGGCAAGTGGTTGTTCTAACGTTTGCAGGTAGCAACAAGGCAAGTTCTAACGTTTGCAACCGCTAAAAAGACTTCTAAACGAAAGAATTATCAATGCATGTAGTAACACTATTCAATAATTACTTAGTTACTATTCATACTTTGTTAATCGCTCATGGTTCTCACAACCCTAGTTGTGGATTTAGTTACCCATAATATCAAGAACACGATTCATATTTTTAGATGAAGAAATCATGAACTTACGTAATAAGTAGAAGAAACTCAGAATCTCAACTTGAATTTCAAAGTCAAAATCTTCAAAATGAACTTAGGAAATCAAGAATTGCTAAATTTGCAAGTTAATCTCCACAGCCAAAACTAGAACTAAAATAATAAGGTCTAACCCCCAAAAACGAGGTTTACATGCCTTATATATAGAAAAACAAGTCCTAACTAAAAGGGAAACGAAATAAGGAAACAAAGTTTCTGGATGCGATTGAAGTTGACGACACTGACCTACGGACCGTGGACTGACATACGGTCTGTAGGTCCCTTCCGTGGTTTGGGACTTAGGCAATTTTTCCGAAGCTTGGAACTACAACTCTCAGTACCGAATGACGACTCAACAGCACGGACCGTGACTTGATCCACGGTCCGTGGATCCTCCTCCGTAGTCTTATACTTAGTTTGATAAAAATTAGGTATTGGAACACCTTCTCTTAATTAGTTGATGGACCTGCAGGACGGCCCGTAGGTCAAACTACAGTCCGTCGATCATGGTCGTGGTTCCACACTTGGTCAATAATTCCTTGATTATTTCTTCATGCCTTTCCTATCAATGTACGCCCTACACCTACTGACCGTTACTGAACCTACGGTTCGTAGGTCATGTCCGTAGGTGGCTTCTTCTGCAACCTTTCTTTAGATGTCTCTGATATCCCACGTCCGAACATATTTCCTGCAAACAAGATTAAAACACATTAATACCACTACAGAATGGCCCTAGAAACACACAACTCTTAAGTGAAATGTATTAAAAATATAGTAAACTCATGGTATATCAATGCACCGAAGCAAACTCATTTGACAAATCTATCTCATAGGCAACTTACCCAATATGTTTCAAAAATTGGTATGGGCCCACATATCGGGGACTAAGCTTTCCCTTCTTGACAAACCTCATCACATCTTTCATAGGTGAAATTTTTAAATAGACCCAATCATTAACTTCAAATTCTAGATCCCTTCTTCTAATATCGGCATAAGACTTTTGCCGACTTTGGTCCGTCCTCAACCTCTCTCTAATGAGTCATACTTTCTCAATGGCATCATAAACTAGCTTGGGACCTATTAAAGCAATTTCACCCACCTCAAACCAACCAACAAGAGACCTACATCTCCTACTATACAAGGCCTCAAAAGGAGCCATGCTGATGCTTGAATGGTAGCTATTATTGTAGGCACATTCTATTAAAGGCAAGTAGTCATTTCAATTACCCTTGAAGTCTATAACACATTCCCTCAACATATCTTCTAATGTTTGGATGGGACGCTCCACTTCCCCATCCGTTTGGACATGAAAAGTCATTCTAAGCTTAACCTTAGTACCAACCCCTTTTTGGAATGACTTCCAAAAGTGTGAAGTAAATTGAGTACCCCGATCCGAAATATAGATAAGGGAACCCCATGAAACTTCACTATCTCTCTTATATACAACTTGGCATAGTCTTCTGCCGAAAAAGAAACCTTGATGGGAATGAAGTGGGCTGATTTTGTCATCCGTTATATAATGACCCAAATAGAATCATGTTACCTTCTGGTTTGAGGTTAACCCATAGTAAAATCCATATTCACCTTTTCCCACTTCTAAGTGGGGATTGGTATATGTTGGGATAGGCCTCCCGACCTTTGACGCTCAGCCTTAACTTGTTGACAATTTGGGCATATGGCCACAAATACCGTAATATCCTTCTTCATTTCATTCCACCAATAGACTTCCCGTAGATCATGGTACATCTTGGTGGCACCCGGATGAATAGAGAACCGAGAAGTATGAGCTTCCTCTAAACTGTGCTCTCTTAAGCCATCTACATCCGGAACACATAAACGACCTTGGTACCTAACCACCACATTTTTCCCTTGGGAGAAAGCCTCAACGGACTTCTTGAGTACCGACTCTTTCATTTTTACCAAAATATGATCAAGTTCTTGCTTTGCCTTCACATCCATCACAAAGGACGATTCGGAACCATTATGAACCATGACACCACCCTTGGTGGATTCCACTAGTTGATCACCTAATCTAGCCAACCTATGTACATCACGAACCAATTCTTTCTTTTCATCATCTACATGAGCCACACTTCCCATATACAACCGACTAAGAGCATCTGCAACTACATTGGCCTTGCCGGGGTGATAAAGGACACTCATGTCATAATCCTTCAACAATTCTAACCACCTTCTTTGCCGAACTATAACACGCATAATCTCATATCATCCTCCTAAAATCAACAATTCTCATAATAATATCCAAATTGGGGAAATTAGGAATTTCATGAGTTCTTGGGGAAAATCATCATAAATCAACAATAAATCATCAATTAAATCATAATTAATCATAGATCAACCATTAAAAATGTTTTTGGAAAGAACCCACAAGATTGAAGTAAATCTCTCACTTTTGGGGAAATCACTAGTTTTGAAATTGAACTTTAGAGGGGCTCTATGGGTTAAGGCTACCCATAGATGAAGATCTAGAATACCTTGGTTATGATTCTTCAAAGAAATTGAGTGAAATAGTCTTGATTCTTCAAACCCTAGCTCCAATTATTACTCTTCTTCTTCTTGAGTTCTAGAGAGAGAAATTTTGTGTAGAAAATGAACTTTGTAACGTTAATTAGGGTTCTGGGAAATAATGAAGTGAATGGGGTGTATTTTTATTTAAAAGGGATTATATAGGTGTATAAAAACAATACAAAACGACCTAATTTAATATTGACAACAACCGACACTCAAATTTGCACAAAAGCAGCCACAATTACACACACAAGAGGTGGCAAAAATTTTAAACTTGGTTCAAAACCATTTTCAAATTAAAACAATGGGCCACAATTTAACAACAACCACAATCCAACAACCAAGATATATATAAACCAATAGGTTCCAATATTCACAAAAGCACAATCAAAATCAAACTAATATTCACAAAATAGCCCACAAGAGGTAGGTATGGAAATACCTCACCCCCAACAAAATACGCAGTTGCCCTCAAATGCAACTAAAAACAGAAATAATTTAAAAAGGGAACAGAAATGAGGCCAAGAAAATCATCCTACCATGCTTATGTTGATTGTGTCTCTATTGTTGATAAATGACTTGTATGTTGATTATGTCTTGTATTATGCCTCTTATTCTTATGTTCATGAAGTTTTATCAAAATGGCATATATTATGACTTTTCAAATAAAATGTCAGTTTTTAAGCATGTTTTTGCATAACTATCATACTTAGTACTTAATTGTGCTAATCCATATTTTCTTTACCTTTATAAAGGTTATAAAGGGTAGAGATTGATTCTCCCTAGTCAGAAGCTTGGATTAGAGTTCTTACCAGACATCTTTTGGTATGATAATAGCAACCCAAACTTCTCTCAGCTAAAATCTCATTTCTCTTCTTCAGACTTAAAAGGTGCCGCCGCCGGTGAAATCGCGTTTTCGACACTCTCGACTCAATGGCCGTTCCAAGCAGTGCTAGGGCATTTCCGTCCTTCCAATGCCGTTCCGATCCCGACTTCTCCGGCGGCGTTCCACGTCATGACCTCCCTAACGCCGGCGTTCGTTTTTCAGTTAAGGTCAAGTCGTTGAGTCGTGGATCTTCGGTTCACGGTATGTCTTCTCTGATCCTTCGCTTCCCGCCCAACTTCGTAAGGCAGCTCAGCGTTAAAGCTCGTAGGAACTGCAGTAACATCGGTTTAGCACAAGTTGTTGCGGCTTCCTGGTCTAATAACCACGCTTCTCCTGACTTTACTCCGGCGGCTAAGGCCGTAGATGCCGCCTCCATTGCTCCTTTTGATATTACCACAGGTGATGAGGAGGGGGCGGTGGTGGAAGATTCGCCTCGTGCTGATCGAAATGTACAGATTGAGGATTTGACAGATGTCAAATATTCTTCATTTTTGAGTTCTGATGGGAGCATCGCAATTCATGCCGGTATGCGTTCTAGCTTTGTATTTTCAAACTCGAACGTCTAGTTTTTCTCTTCTGTCGTGGTTTGTGGATTTACTACGATATATTACAGATTATATATACTTGATACGAGTGTGGGATTTATATAGAGGATTCTTTTAGCTGATCGCTGATTGATCTATTTACTTTTCTCCAGGTGAAAGGTTAGGACGTGGTATTGTTACTGATGCAATAACTACCCCAGTGGTTAACACATCTGCTTATTTCTTCAAGAAGACTTCTGACCTTATTGACTTCAAGGTATTTGCATTGGGCCTTTACTTTCTTGTGGCTTATGAGTTATAAAATAGGTTCACTAGCTAATTCTGGTGAAGAGTTTACACCAGACAAACATGAGCCATATCAGTTAGAGAAAGGCAAGTGATGTGCTTGGTCAATAATCAGCTCAAGTGAGATATTATGTAGTAGTTTTGGGAAGAGAGAATGCCAAGAAGTATATTTTTGGGTTTAGTTAAATTTGTTTTTTTGGTTTGGTTCTTATTTATGATATACTATGACAGGAGAAAAAACGTGCGAGTTTTGAATATGGGCGCTATGGGAACCCCACTAGTATTGTTGCAGAGGAAAAGATAAGGTGGGTTAGTGAAGATGATTTTTCTTTCCCTTCTCCAGTTCTTTTATGGATTGGTAGTTAAGAAGTAATGCATTATTTTCTCTGCTGCAACAGTGCACTGGAGGGTGCTGATGCAACCTTGTTAATGGCATCTGGAATGTGTGCTAGTACTGTATTGTTGTTGGCATTGGTTCCTGCTGGTGGGCATATTGTAACAACAACAGACTGCTATAGGAAGACCCGGATATTTATTGAGACAATACTGCCTAAAATGGGAATCACGGTATTTACTTATTTAAATGCTTAAGATACTTGAAGTTAAGTTGGAAAGCATAGGATATTCAGTATTTCTTGACACAAGAAGAAAATTGGGTACAAAACTGAAAAGTTGGTATGCTTTATATTACTCATGAAAATAAATGGTAGAAATGAGTTCAAATTTCCACGAGGTCTCTCTAGAAACTGCTGTTTATCAATAATTGGGCAATAGATTCTCATTTCCTTTCTATATAGATAATTTATATACCCAAGTCTAAGAAAAAGTTCTGCCATTCTTCATCCCTTACAATTTCTAGTTATGTAATCTCATTTCCTTTATCCATTGCAGGCGACAGTCATTGACCCAGCTGATATTGGAGCTCTAGAGTCTGTGCTAAATCAGAAGAAAGTTAGTAGGCTGCTTATTGAGTCAATTGTTTTGAATTATATCTATAGAATACTGAAGACATCCCCTATAACTTGAACCTTTTTCCATACAGGTGACTCTTTTCTTTACCGAGTCTCCAACAAATCCATTCCTGAGATGTGTTGACATTGAGCTTGTTTCGAAGCTTTGCCATGAAAAAGGAGCATTAGTTTGCATAGATGGGACGTTTGCAACTCCCCTTAACCAAAAGGTCCTTGCTCTAGGGGCTGACCTCGTTGTGCACTCTGCAACAAAATATCTTGGTGGCCACAATGATGTATGGTGTTGTCAAATCATGTTTTAGCAATTCAAATGACTATGCCACCACACTAAAATTATCAGACTGACTGCTAATCAATTCAATTTCTTGCAGGTTCTTGGAGGTTGCATCAGTGGTCCTGATAAGTTAGTTTCAGCAGTTCGTACCTTGCATCATATCCTGGGTGGTGCTATCAATCCTGTGAGTTGCGTTGATTGAACTCTCTTGATATTTTCCCCGACATTTTATGCTCTGCCGGTTTGTTATGCAAGATAAAAACCCCAAACAAATCATCAGAAGTAAATCCTCAATTCCATGTGCCTCCTGATTGGATGGCCTTTTATATTCATCCTGAAACTCTCACTATTTTAAATAACTATGGTAATTTTATAGAGTAAAAAACAGCATCAAGAGAGTGCTGGTAATGCATCGCCAAAAGTATCAAACCTAACAGAAAACCCTCACTATTTTAAGAGAAGAAGAATTCACTCTCTGTAGTGTAGCTAAATTTAGTGAAGGGAAATTGTGTTTTTCTTTTAAATGGACTCTGGAAAGTAGTCATGGTATTTGAGTACCAAGTGTAAAGGATGAACATATGTATTATATTAGTTTTGGCTTGTATTTTATTGACGCATGATTCAATTTTCCCATGTATCAGAATGCTGCGTATTTAATCATCAGAGGCATGAAGACGTTGCATCTCCGTGTACAGCAACAGAACTCAACTGCACAAAGGATAGCCGAAATTTTAGAGGCTCATCCAAAGGTATTCTAAGCTCTCAACGTCTTCAGTTGAGCGTGGTTTGGATTCCACATTGTAGTACGCCAGAACTGCCTAAACTAATTTTCAAGAGATTGTGTATCTATGAGAAAATAAAGGAGTTCAATTTAATGTCTATTAAAATAAAGTTGCAATATCGGAAAGCCTATTACATATAGCAGAATCTACTTATAGGTAATATGCTTATTTTAGACTTAAAAGTGTGTCGACCAAAATTAAGATATGAAAAGTGGCCAGTGAAGAGTTCAGTCTCTTTTTTTTTCTTCCCCTATTTTTTCATTGTAAAATATCGGATAAGCTGGAGGCATGCCACTTTTTGCAGCTTAAGATCATGCTTTCAATATCACAGAACTGCATTTCTTTTGCAGGAATGGGTTGATTCTATTTTACTTGTTTACTTCTTTTGTTAACCAAGATGGACAGTTCCATTCCATCGAAAAACACAAATAATTACAAAGAAAGCAGAGGAAAATAAAAATAAATGACTAATAAAGAGGGGAAAACCCGGTCAGCGTTGGTAATGGATCTTGTCTTGCAAGTGTTTCCTTAAAACTCATTCTTCCTTCTGTTGGCTCAAATTTGCTTGCTCTAACCCACTGCATCTCTAGCTTTTCTTTTGACTGTTCAGTTTAGTTCAGTAGGCTAGTATTCCTTTGCTTCAAAGATTTTTGTTCCATGTGCAACTGCTATCATTTCTAAGAAAATTGAGTTGCAGGTGAGGTGTGTCTATTATCCAGGCTTGCCAAGTCATCCAGAATACCATCTTGCAAAGAGACAAATGACTGGTTTTGGTGGGGTGGTCAGTTTTGAGGTCTGTATTTTACAATCTATTAAAGATTTCCAAGTCTGTTCTTGTTAGATCCTATATTTTGGATGATGACTGATGGATAATTATGTTATTAATTAGGTTGATGGGGATCTGCTAACTACTGCAAAATTTGTTGATGCTCTAAAAATTCCTTATATTGCTCCATCGTTTGGAGGTTGTGAGAGCATTGTGGACCAACCAGCAATTATGTCTTACTGGTATGTTGATATTCTCTTTTGAGGAAATGGGTGAACATCACCCTTCATAATTTTTGAATAGAAGTGTTTTTCTCCCATTTCTTACATGTAAAAATAAAGATTTTTTTTTGAAAAAGACGAGTAAAAACAAATTTGTAAGGGCTGCAAGACCAATTAACCCATGAATTATAGTGAGACATTATCATCAAGTGCATTGGACCTTAACTAGCATGTCTAAAGTTTAATCCCAACTAATTGGTATTACCTATAGGGCATAGGCTATAGATATATTTTTGTTGTGCGGTGTCCTATTTTAAATAAGGAAGGAGTTGTATAAAGCAACTTGGATGACATGGTGTTTCATTCTGAAAACAGGGATCTTAAGGAGTCAGAGAGAGCTAAGTATGGGATCATGGACAACTTGGTTCGATTCAGCTTTGGAGTAGAAGACTTTGAAGACTTGAAAGCTGATATTCTTCAGGCGCTGGAGTCCATGTAGGGTGTCTTACCTGCAACCTGATTTCGTTTTCCCTTGGATCGTTTTCTTTCCACTAGCTTTGAACTTCTTTTTCATCTCTAATTAGTGGAGTAGTCACTTCCCCCAGTTGTCAGAATGTATTGAATGGATCATTGAGCAGCTGATGCAATCCAATGTCAGAGTGGGATGTTATTGTTGTTTCCGTTTTATTTTGTTCTTAGAGAATTAACTTTTTTAAATGAGTTAACTCTAGCAGTAGCAAGAAAGAAATACATATTTGGGTACTTGACTAGGTGACTCAAAATCATCGTCGGAATTGGAATTTAAAGCAAAGAAAAGGGGATTGAAGTATAGTCAAGAAATTGTTTTACTTGGAGGAGGAAATGGCTCAACACAATTCTTTATAATTTGGATGGAAGTAAAAAAATTTGGATGGATTTCGTGCTTTATTTATTATTTCCTATGTGTAGAAACAGAAATCTCTTGGAAGATTTGATATATATTTAAAAAGAGTTTTGTAATGGACTATAAAGTCAATTTACCCCATCTGCAATTGTTTTAATTAAACACTCTTCCACTTAAATCATTTAATGAAATTTCCAATGTCAAGCAAGCGCTCTTATAGAATGACCAATTAATTGAATTTCAACCTGGTTTTTATAGTGTTGTGCACCAAGTTACTATTACAAGTCATTGTAAACAACGGAGGAGCTTTGAATTGACTTTAAAATTGATCAAACCTATTTTAAAGTTATTTTTAGCTTTTGTAAGTGTTTAGCAAGGTTAAAAATAATCTAAATAGGGTTTAAATGACTTAGAACAAGCTAAAAATCAAAAGTAGGTTTCCCTCTACTTTTAATGTTTTTGACTTAAAAGTCATTTAAGTTTGACTTATTATTTTGACTTAAAAGCTAGTATTTTTTTAAGTCAATCCAAACAGATTCTTAGTCTATCAAAATCTTTCTTCTAGCTCCTTTGGCAATGAGTAGACCTGGGCGTCAAGTCGATCCCAATCGAGCTGAGTTGAATCGAGGAGACTCTCTAATATTTAATTTTATGTAATGCAACGCCATTAAAAAGTTAAATCAATGATAAATTCATTTGAGATGATCTTAACCTCTCATATTCATTTGTATATGTGACTTACATCCACTGCACCATTGAGGAGAGTAATTTACAAAATAGTAATGGAGGACCCTTTTCTCTAGTTTTGGGGTCGAGTTAGACCCAAATATTATATTTCTACAAGGTACCACAGGCAGGTCAATCTTTATTTGCGCTCTTGGTCCGCACTCCAATTTGGACCTGGGCATAAAGATGGTGTTAGAGTTGGTTAAAGTCTCAAATTGATTGAAAAATATATATGTTAGTAATATGTTTATATGGAGTAGGGCAATCCTCCCCTTCCTCATGAACTACCTTTCAAGATTTGAGTTATGCTTAAATAACATAATTTTACACATAGACTTTAAATTTTAGATGGACCGCGTTTGGTGAATATAATAGAAAGGGGATAAGGGGTTACAGCATGGATAAAAATTAAAATGGACGGAGTGGAAAGGAAATAAGCAAAGAGTCACACATGCAGCTAAAAGAACGTTCCTTTTGACTTCTTCCCTACATTTTCTCATTCATTTCTCTCTCTATCTTTGTTAAAAAATCACTCTATCAAAATTCTTTTGATATAAAACAGGGGGAAAATATCCAAAATATAAATAGATTTGTATAAAAAAAAACAGAGAGAAGATTTGGAACTCTGATCTCTCCCTCTCTTTTCTGGTTTTTGTTTCTTCTTTCCCAAAGAGAGGGAGAAACCAAGCCAAGCTTCTTTCATCAATTATACCTGTTCACTTGTTAAGGTAATTCCCATTTATTCCCAAATGGATCGTTTTGAATTCCTTTCATTGAAAAATTATATTATGTTGATAGCTAACAAAAACTATGGCATATGTATATATAAATTGAATCCCCCTTAACTTCTAATGTTATGATTTAAAGGTGACTCAAAATTTGCTTTAATTCTCAAATGTGGCATTCTAGGATTTTTCTGAATCCCTTTGTTATAATTGCTGGTTCTGCCCCCGAGTGTTGATATAATGGTTTGCATCATGATTCTGTTTTTCTTATCCTACTCCTAACGAATGTATTGAAAATATAATGAAGTAAAAAAAGTGTGCTCTTTTTAACAACTTAATAATTTAAATGAGATAGTCACATACTACAACATGGTGTCTTGGGATTGATTCTCAAGTGTCATCCATTTCATCATTCTTGGCCACTAAAAAGCAAGTCCCTGCGTGAGGGGGCACATGTTGAGAATATTTTTAAGTAAATAAAAGTGTGCTCTCTCGCAGTTTAAGCTTTGAGATGAGATGGTATGGTAGATTGTTTACCGGTATGTATTCATGTAGTTGCAAGTATTCTGTAACAGTTAACTAAGTGATTATATTAAGTTTTTAGGCGACCACTTTATAAGTTGCCCGCCTCTCTAAGAGAGAAGCATGCTACACCTTTAGTTGATCCCTCTTCCCAGAGAAGAGAACGAAAATGAACCACTTATGGTAGTCATGGTTGATTCCAGTATCTTACTCGGTGAAATAAACTCTCTATGGTGTTGCATTTTCTCTGGCTGCCACTCCCCTGTTCCATCATAGTAAAACCATTCGAGAAGAGCAATTGGGCTCATATTATATCTTTTCTTCAATGCTTATAGACGAAGTGCTTTATTTCAGATCAGGTTTCCACAACAATTGCTTCCATCCACCACCTCGGTGAAAAAATTGTATTTTAAAAGATTCACTTAAAGTATTCACACGTTTATTGCGCTTTATTAGATATTAATTAATCAAGTCAACTGAAGGATAATGTAGTATAGCTTTTGAGGCTTGTTCAATATATCTACTTTCAGTTCTACTGCATTTGTTTTTCCTCTTTTCTTCTCTTTTCTTGTCGGAGGATTAGGGGAGCCTAGAATAATGCGAAAAAGGCTTTAAAAATCTTTATCATCTCTCAATAATGTTTGCATACACCTCCCCCGATTTTTCTTTGTTGAGACATATTTCGTTGCCATAATGTTGCTCTGATCTCCACATTGTTATTTGATTTTGTGTTGACTATGTACTTAACAAATTTGCAATTTTTTTTTTCTATTCTAACATAAAGTTTGTTTCATGATTTTGCTAGTTTGTGTGCATTTCATCCATAATCACTCACGAATTCATTCTTAAGCGAAGGAAATAACAACTTATCTTGTCCCCTCTTTGATCATGCTTCTCTGCTTTGACATTTTAACTTTTGTCTCCATTTTTTTTTGTTCTTTCTCATGTGCAAACACATTTATATTGTTTAAAGGTTTTACCTTAATGTGATTCAAGTGTGTTCCCTTTGTAAAATTGTGTATTCACTTGATAAATATATTCTACTATTTTAATAAAATTTTCATTACATGTACATAGTTCAAGTCGGAAAACAAAGAGCAATCTAACTTCTCTACTTTTATCATCGACCTTGAAGATATAATTTAATAAGTAATGGTGTATCCTCTTTAATAGTTTAAATTTTAGATGAAATGTTCGTACAATTCAACATGGTATCAGAGTTCTTAGTTTTAGTCGTTTTCCACTGCTACTAAACATTAAATATGATCTGTTTCTATCCTATATTTATGAGTTTCAATATGCTGTTGAAAAATAGGACATTGCTTAATCAAGACTAATTCAAGTTTACTTACGTTAATACAATTTCGCAGGTCCTATTGGCGTGTGTTGTACAATTTTGGAAATTTTATGTAGAGTTAAAGAACTATCCTTCTTTTTCTATGTTCTCTCTTTTGAGACTGGCCCAACATCGCCTTTGTAGGCTGTATAGTTAATTCAAGATGTTAGTACTCATTTAAGGTAAGTCTTTGTATTTATTTCTAATTAATGTAAAAGTTTGAACTCATTATCCCTCCATTTAATTTGAATTGATTAATATACTCACAAAATTCTATTGGACAGTGGCGGATTCAAGATTTTAGACCAGCAAGTCCAGTGTATCATTGTATCACTACTCCGTTGTGACTATAGGTATGGAATTTGTATAAATTCGTGTTTTGAAAGCTCTTGGTACATTTATAGTTCTAGATTAAGACAACATACTAATTAGACTGTAATTTCTATTTATTTGTGCTTAATTACCAGGTGTCTTTATTTCTTCTGTTCCACAATTGTAATTGGCATCTGGCATGGGACAAAACAAATTCGCAGCGAAATTTGTAAACTGAGTCAGAAAAATGGGTGCTTGTGTATCGACTCCAGGCCATACGATCAAAGTAAAGAAGAGACATCATCATCGTCGTCGTCATAGAAAATTCCGTGGAAATAATTCGATCTCTCTTGTAGAAGGAACCAGGAGAAGAAACAGTGATGTAGGACCACAAATTGTTGTTAGTGAGTTTGTTAGAAGATCTGAGGTCTCCAATTCCAAATACCATCTTACTCAGTTACAGTGGCATCATACTCAAACAGATGCAACTGGTATGTCATTATTTTGAACGTTGTCTATTGTATAAAGCCTGCGTTTTGATGGAAATATACCTGATTAAAAGATATCAAGAATGTAAAAGGATATGTATAGATAAGAGAGATAGACTAAGTGTGTTTGGTAACAAGGAAAATGTTTTCTTGAAAAGAAGTTGGTTTCTTAGTTTCCTAGAGAAAATGTTTCCCAAAACATTTTGATCAACCAAGCACACCCTAAACCTGAGTATACTCCAACAACAACAACAATAATAATTATGCTTCAAATTATATGAATCCTTATTATCAATTTTCATGCTTTGGGCTTGACACTTGCGTAGATGAGCATGTCATGACATATTATGTGTTGTGAGGAATCATCCACTAATTAATTAGCTTGCACTGGTGGTCAACCCTCATCCTTGATGGTATACAACAACAACAGCAAACCCAGTGAAAAAAGTCTCACAAAGTGGGTCTGGGGAGGGTAGAGCGTACGCAGACCTTACCACTACCTCGTGGAGGTAGAGAGGTTGTTTCCGAAAGACCCTCAAGTGCATCAATTCCAAATAAGAAAAGCATAACGGCTAATAAGAAAAAACAATATAAAGTTCACAGGAGAGAAACAATAACAACAACAAAATAGTGTGATAATCAAAATACAATAAACAACATAAGGCAAGGACTAATCCTACACCAGGTACTAAACCTTTGCAAGACAACACTCTACCCCTACAATCCTTCTACCCTAATACACGACCTTCACTCATTTCTATCTAAAGTCATGTCCTCGGTAATATGAAGATGCACCATGTCCTATCTAATCACATCTCTTAAATACTTTTTCAGCCTACCCCTACCCTTCCGCATACCCCCTACAACCAACCTATTGGGGCGTTGACACACCTCCTCTACACATGCTCAAACCATCTTAATCTCTCTCCCCTCATCTTGCCTAGCATAGAGGTCACTTCTTCATTCTCTCGAAGAACCTCATTCCTAATCTTGTAACTCCGAGTATATCCATACATCCGGATATCCTCATCTCCGCAACATGCATCTTTTGAACTTGAGATTTCTTGACTGTCCAACACTCTGCCCCATACACCAAGGATGGTCAATCCACCGATATGTAGAACTTAAATTTAAGTTTAGGTGGTACTTTTTATCACACAAGACTCTAGAGGCAAGCCTCCATTTCAACCATTTCACCCCAAAGCGATGTGTGACATCATCATCGATGTCCCCACTACCTTTTTTTTTCAAAAAAAATTGGGGGTAGGGGAAGGGGAAATGGGGAGGGGATTCCAATGTAGGGAATTGAACCCTCACCAACAAGGTGGAAGTTCAGGTAGCCAAGTGTCACGACCCGAGAGCACCCCTAGTCATAACACGACGTACTTGACCCCGAAGGGGTCGCATACAGGCCCTTAGCACATTCTTAACATAAGATAATAGAGAATACGGGAAAATTTAAAACTTTTACAATCAATGTCTTATTTCATAAAATCAAGCGGAAGTCTGTACTAGAACCTTTGTCTCAAACCATCTATTTAACTCTTGAATAAAAGTCTTTGGGACGCAGCCCATACAAAGTCTAAAAACATAATGAAATGACATAAAGGAACATAATGGGTTTGTCCTCGAAGCCGAGGACTCACCAATTCGTCAACTCTTCTAGATTCTTGAAACCTAGCCTCCAAAGCAACTCAAATCTCCAAACTCTACATTTGATTAGAATGTAGGCAATATGCGTTAGTACAAAATGTACCAAGTATGAAAGCTAGCACAACATCATAAGAGCATCTCAAATGGTTAGTCAACATAAGACATAAGCATAAGAGATAATAACATAGTTATAACATAATCATCATAGTCATAGCATGGTCTCCAACATAAGCTTCATATTAACATAAGTCAACATAAGACATAGTTAATGAGCATAGGAGATAAGTCATAATCATATCAACATAATTGACACTTAGTCATCATTACCATAATAGCACCATTCTCAAGTAACCTCAAAAGTATACAAGTGCAAAGCAAGAATAGCATCCCATAATACCACGCAAGCCAAGTATCCCTTTTTAGTCATCTTAATCATAGTCTATGTACATGGTTAAGTCATAAGTCTTTCTACCGTAAGGGCACTATACTTCTAAGGAACCTCAAGACACACTTGTGCAATGCATGTAAGGAATCCCATACTACCCTTCACACTAAGCATAGCCTTGAAATCACCTTGGTCATATTCACCCTCCTTTTGGTTTTACTATAAGCGTACTTCTTATAGACAAATGAACTACCACCTTAGTCAATCATATCTTTGAAGGCAACTATGGCAACAACCCAAGCTAAGTCATACTATGTGTGGGAACCCTTCATATCTAGCCTTAAGCCATACTTGTGCAATGTATGGATAGCATCCCATACTACTATCCACACTAAGTACTCATTTAGACTATCATGAAGGTTCACTAGTTGGGGACTAATCCCTCTATTCTATTTACCTCTATTCAAGGCTACCAAGGAATAACCCCTTAATAGGCTAGACCATGCTATCATCTTACTAACATAACTAGGCTAAGCTAAGCTAACTACCTTGGAATACACACTAACATGCAAGTCCAAGCTACTCTAGGAAAGGTACAAGTGTCCTATCCTAGCTACCATGAAATAGTCCTAAATCAACTAAGTCATGCTACCCTTACAAGTGTACTAGATGACAAATGCAAGCTATCCATAGGGGAGTGTGATTCTCAACCCTAAGCTACCATGACTAATCCTAACTCAACATATCCTTGAAATGCATCTTACAATGCAAGTCAAGCTA